CTGACGTACCCCCCCCCAGCCACAAGATGCCCTGATTTCAGCAGGGACCCAGCCGTGCTCAGCTCAGCTCCAGACAGGGGGATGGGCTTGGAGGCTGCTCCCAGCCCCTCCTCCACCTCCCAAGGAACGGGGATCCATCACCAAGTGCCTTCCAGCCTCCATAATACGCCTGAGGAACCCACACCAGCTGGGAGTGGTGGCCTCTGTCTGGTCCCCCACGTCTCTCCACCCGGAGCAGAAGAAGGAGGAACTTGAGCAGCTCCCAGGGATGGACAGAGAAGCACCCAGGGGCTGCCTGGACTCAGGCACCCACCACCCACCTGTCCTAGCCCAGTCTAGGGGGCAAGCAGAGAGGGGCCCAGTGCTGGACAAGACAGGGACAAAGGGATAGAACAATTTTATTAATAAAGATGTGCCCCATCTGTGGGGTGCTTGGGGATGGGGTAGGGGAGCATGTTCCCCCCTCCCCAAGGACACATGGTGCCTTATTCATTGGGACAAACAGAGGGAGGCTGCGAGTTCCCTGATCCCAGGCAAGAGTTGGGGAGTTGGCAGGAAGGGGGAGTGAGCACCCAGCAGCACCCTGCCAGGCCAGATGCCTCAGAACAAGCACCCCACTCTGCACCCCCTCTCCTCTGCCTGTGCCCCAGGAAGGGACCGGGGTGGCAGTATAAACAGTCGGTGGCTTTTCCTCGTGTATGGAGAAGACTCCAGGTGTTGACATCCCAGGTGGCAAGAGGGGGTGGCAGAAGGAAAGTGCCCTGAGCTGCTCCTCAGTGCCTGGGGGCTTGGGCTGTGGGTGACAAGTGGGGAGCAAAGGGGAAGGGAGAGAGAAGGGGTCCAGGCAGCCCCCCAACTCTTACTGTGCTCCTTTCACCCAGATGGGTCTCTCCTGCCAGAGGAAGGTGGTACATGGCAGGAACAACAGGGTCCAACCAGATCACCTTGAGCAGGTGCTGGGGGGAAGAGCAGAGCTGGGTTGGGGCAGGGCAAGACATGCACCCCCCTGGGAGGGTCCTCCTAGCCCCAGAGCCCTTGAGCTCAACCCCATCCTGATCTGGTTGAGGGGTCCTGAGGCTCCCCCCACCCACAAGGTAGGGACACTGAGGCAGTAACAGTTCTCTGATCCACTAGTTTCTCTTCTCAGATCCCTGTGACATCCTGTCCCAAACCTCCCTCAGCTCCCCCTCCCCTCAGACACTGTGAACCCCTTGCCCAGGGTGGTAGGCAATGCTGGAGCTGAGGCTGTACTGGGATGCTCCCTGCCCTCAGCCCCATGGACCAGCTGTGTCCCACAGCCTCTCACCCCTGGGGGGTCTTCCAGCACAGGGCCTGCTTCTGCAGGGGCACCTGGCACAGCCCCACCAGCCTTACCTACTGGTTGCTGGTGGGGGGAGGGAGCTGTCAAGAGGCTCACGGTCCCAGCAGCAGCCTGTGGGCTCAAGCAGGGCAGAGGACACATGTGAGGGGACACAGGGCTGTACCCCACTTTCAGGACATCCTTAAGGGCAGCAGGATCTTGATGGGGCTGAAAGGGGAGCTGGGGATCCCCACAACTAGTGGGACACAGCCAGCACAGGCAGAAGAGCCACCATATCCCTCTCCACAGCCAGATCCTTGCTTGCAGCCTTCCCTCCTCCACCCCAGGGAAACTGAGGCACAGCCAGGCTGGCGAGGGCTCCCCCCAGCTCTGGGCCCAGAGCCAAAAATGCCAGAATGGTCACCCAGAAACTGCCTCACACCCCAGGGAGAGTGTGGGGAGGGGGCTGCCAGGGGCTGGTGCCAGGACAGGGACACCTTTGATCCTTCCCTGGCCTGCAGAGGGGAGCTGGGCAGGGAGAACTGGGGCTGTCCCTCCTTGCTTTTCCAGCAGCAGGAAAGCAAACAGGAGTGAACAGGGGGGATCCACCAACCACAGGCAAGACCTGGGCTGAGAAAGCTGGGACCCCAAGAGCCAGGGGCAGCTGATGCAGGAACTCTGGGGGCTCTGAACTCAGCCTGAGCAGCTCTGGAGTGACCAGGGACTCACAAAAATGAAGTCACCAAGCCCAGGAGACATAAATTCACAACTTGTTTAATGCCAGTTAGATCGTTTTGCATGGAAAAGTTACAACGCTCTTTATGGTTTTTGTTTTCCCACCATATGATGTCATCTCTATAACAATGCCATAAGGTCACAGACATTATCACACAGACTCAAGGAGGGCCCTTTCAGTGCTCACAGCTCACACACCAACACCACAAGCTCACATCAGCTTTGCTCTTTTCTCCACTGAACAGGCCACAGCAAACTCCAGCTGCAGCGTCACAACAGCGTCAGGACAGTGTCACCTGCTGCCCTGCTTGAGCTGGGACACACACACACACACACGCAACACACCCTCTGGCAGTGGAACCCTGCCGGGAGCATGGCTGGGGACTCTGCTCCTGCCCTGGAGACACGGTGGGGGGAGGGGAGGACTCTGTGCCAGCTTTCCCACCAAAGTCCAT